GAAGGCTCTGAAATGAATATGTGCCTACTTGGAAGGTTAATCCAAGGATCTGAAGGCAAACCTGGGTTAGTCTTCTGAAAGTTGCTGGAGGTGAAGGAGGTTGGTTCAAGAGAGACAATCTACTGTATTCTCTGCACCAGTCTCCTCCCTCCTCAGTGCCAGCTGCAGCTGTTGGAGACCTCTGCTGGGATCTTGTGGGGCAGAGGAGCTTCCTGGTTTGTACATATTTCTTCTCCAGTCGTCCTTACCCCAGCAGGTGTCTGCCAGTGGGGCTCCATCTTGAGATGCTTCTTAATTTTCCCCTCCCAGGCCCCAGGTTCAGTCTCTAGAGCTTACTTTGCTTCAACATCTCCATTTATCTGACTGAGGAAGTTTAAATAATGGTATTTGTTTTGGGAATATTCACTAATGTTTGGGGTTATGGCATTTTCTCAAATGGATCTAATGGATACCTATAACTCTAAAGATGAAACTTGTATGTTCTTGTTTCTTATTTGGTTGCATTAAATCATTTAGAAGTCTTAACTATTTTTATTGATGAATATGATGGTAATATAACATGGAAATAGTTAATAAGGTTCAAGCATTAATGAAAAATAAAAACACAGTCATTTAGTATATGTATATAGAACTTGACAGTTTTCAACCTCATGAAACTGTCTGAATATGGCAGAATTAGTCTTGTTTAGCAGATATTTTAGTAGAGTAAATCAAAGAAGTTAATTGAAAGTTAGTTCAACTTGCACAGTAATGAAAACTTACAGATCTTTCAACTATCTTCATCTCATTATGCTAAATTGACTCTTTAAATATTAAATATATTAAACATAACTAGAAGGTAATAGTTATCTCTCATATACACATACAGCATTTCTTATGATACACTCAAATATATTACAATCACTGTCAACTAAGTAAAAAAGAAAAACTAAAGCACTGGGAACTAATATTTGCTGAGCACCTAGTATGTGTGTTTACATATACTAATTAATAATTACCCTCTTATGGAAACAAAGTCAGGAATTAATTTTCACATGATCCATATCATTAATAGCCGTTAAGTCGCTCAAATGGCAAGATGACTACATTTCTCCTCTTCTCGGGTTGTCAACCGGAGATTGAAACGTACCTAAGCATAGTCTCCCAGGGCATGAGCCTTCCCCTTCAATCCTCATGATAACCTGCTACTACAAAAGCAGACATGGTAGAAGTGTGTGTTGGGACAGAAAACCAGAGGTCCAAGTGAAAAAACCAGCCATTTGTGAACTCTGAATCTTTAACTCTTCCGTGTGTTTAGTTGTGCATATTTACAAGAGGTGAAAATATTTTGAAATATTGACAAAATCCCTGTGAAAGTCTCCTCTCAGAGAATCCAGAAAGGTTATGTTTAAGCTTGTTCTTGGAATATTATCAGGAGTAGAGAAGAATGAAAGCATCGGGCTAGAATTGACTGGTTTTGGTAATTCATCAGATAAGAGTGTACAGCTGCCTCCAATAATCGCCCGCCTTCAAGAGCACATGAAGACCCATGAAGATAGGCATGTGTTTGCTTCTAGGCACATCATATCTAACCCTAAAGAAGATCCTTCTTCCAGGCAAATGTATCATTGCTTAGGAGTGGCGTGTTCAAACAGCAGAAGTTGTGGGCCATAGAACTGGCTTGGTTTAAAAGGCCTTTCTATCATGTGATTTGATGAGCTGCGTTTGTCTGCAGTTGTGTTTATAATCACTGATCTTTTTAAGAATTGCCATTATGGCTAATTTTTACCAATCACTGCCTACGTCATCTTTTTGCAAAGATAGCAAGAACTGTTCCTGACGCATGACCAGTGCACATAAGAAGTTCATGCATCTTCTGATACTGAAGAGCAATATGGTTTTCTAGTCTCCCTCTATTTTCTGGAATCCATACTTCACTGCGTGAATTTTCTGCTTGGACATTTCACTTACTAGGTTTCTGGTAGCTTCTGCCTTTTCTCTTGTCATTCATATTCTTGATTCTTCGGCAGAAATGTGTCTTTCTGCTGATAAAATCCACTGAAAATTTCTGTTGCAAATCTCTGGCCAAATTGAATGACTAAAAATAATGTTCCAACATCTACGTGTCTTCTTACAGTGCGTGCCTGGCCAACAGCTCACCTGGAATTTTTCATTCCCTGGTCACTGTCTTTTTAAAAAACTATTGTTAATATCAGTTTTTTTGTCTGGGATGTAATTATCATGTGTCTTGTCTGATTTTTTTTATCTTCTCGCTGCCAGCTGTTCATTGTCAAAATCATCGATCCATTTCATTTTTTTTGCTCTAAATTCAGAAAGAAGTTCATATTGTATCTGCACTGTAGAATTCTTCAAACTTCAATTTATTTTATTTGCAAGCAAGATCTTTATCAAAATCTGAGAATTTTGTATGGGTTATTAGTTCACTGAGAAAATATAATGCTCTTTGAGGTCTTCTGCTTCCTATTGTCATTGGGATACCCTCCTCCTCAATCCACTATTTTCTTTGCAAATTCAGTGTATTTTAGATTCTCATCTTCTCATAACTTAGTTTTACTTCATTTTCTCTTAAATACTATGATATCCTTTGTAAAACCCTGTCATCTTCAATCTGGCAAGATATCTGTCTTGCTAAATGCCTTCCATTTCCTTACTTTCTCTTCTGCAGTTCTCAATGTAACATACTTTCCACAACCTTTGGTTCCTTTTTTTAAGCCTTCTGATTAAATACTTAAGCAGACATTTCAGAAACAGTATTCCTTTGTCTTTTAGTTTTCTTCAAAAGGTATCATTGCTTCTTTGATCATTTTCTTATCATCTGATATTTGAAAGCATTTTTTGGTTTATTCTAAATTCTTTTAAAGTTTATACAATCTGTTGTTTTTGCTGGATAAATTTCACTATTATAAAGGAACATCCTCAGGAGAAAATGGCAAATAATATAATTTCCAATATATAAATAATAGACTTCTAAAATACATCATGAAAATCAGGAGTAGGACTTCTGGCACCTTCAGTCAAAACACCTTTCACTGTCATTTTCTCCTGTGATCATTTCTAACCTTTCTCTTTACTTCTGTATAATTCTAAATTTCTTCTGTGAGATTAAATACGAATTATTTTTATATGTACTTGAAGTATAATCCAATCTTAGGACTCCTATAATCAATTCTGGAAATTTTTTTATCTATTACGTCCTCAACAGTGGTTTCTACCATGTGAATCACAGGTATTATACATATATGTTGGTCGCTAGTCCTTAGTTTAGTGATTTTATACTATAAAAATGTGATTAGCAATCTGAAGGAAGCTGTATATATTGCAGTTGTGTGTGTGTTTGGCATTTGTAAGTGCATTATTTTTCATACCTATTAATTACGTCCTCAACAGTGGTTTCTACCATGTGAATCACAGGTATTATACATATATGTTGGTCGCTAGTCCTTAGTTTAGTGATTTTATACTATAAAAATGTGATTAGCAATCTGAAGGAAGCTGTATATATTGCAGTTTGTGTGTGTGTTTGGGCAGTTGTGTAAGTGCATATTTTTCATACCTATTAAGGTCCCACTAGATTTATTTACCTAATTATAGAATTCTCCTCCTGGTTTTAATCTAGTCAAGAACACCTTGAATATGATGAAAAGTTCCCTTTGTTCTAGAATAAAAAAGGAAACCTGAATTTTTTTTTTTTTTTCTTGGTGGTACTGGGGTTTGAACTCATTCCCTCAAGCTTGCTAGGCAGGTGCTCTACCACTTGAGCCATTCCACCAGCCTAGAAAACTGAATTTCTAATTATAGTTTTGGATTTTACTGCAAAGCTGCTTCTTCCAATATTTTCAACTGATTTTGTTGCCTAATTGCTTCTTACTCTGTTACAAAGCACAGATGGCCTGACTTACCCTATGTGAGGGTTAGAGGGAAAACTAAGGGGCCTGCTGACGTTTTTACTTCTCCTGGTGGTGTTTCCATGTGAAAGCCTGTCGCTCAGCATCACACTGGAGTTGGCTGCAGGCTCGGGCCTGGGCTGCTTCTGTCCCAAACTTTCTGGAGTCTTACTTAGCAGCTCATTCTTTAAAATTAGGCAGCGCTCTATGTTCCTTGGCCTTTTTCTCCTAGCTAATACTATAAGCCCTCAATTTTCATTGTGGGCTAATTATTCTCTTCTGTTCGCCTGAACCATAATTTAGTGGAAGCTATTCCTACCCAAGGAAATGAGGACAGAAATTATGTAATTGAGAATAATGGCTTGAAATCTATGAGTGACTAAAATCTTGTTTTAAGTGTGGTACGCTCTAGCTAGGTGGTCCTTACAAGGCAACTCGCTGAAATGAAAGGCTTCTCTCTACTTTTGGGAAGGCACCGTCATAAAGGCTAAGTGTTCATTAAGTAACAATAATGAGTCTCTACAGAAAAATCAGACTTAAGGTTAATGTTTAAACATGGTACAGTTCAAGCAGTTTTGAATTTATTCAGCTGACAGCTCAAATAAATTCCAATATATTTACATTTGATAAAATAGAAACATTTGCAAGGCTGATTTCCTTTACTAATACATTTAATTGACTGCTAATTAAATATCTTTGGAAGAATCATGATAAACATGACTAAAGAGAAACCATAGTCATTTGGACTTAGTACTTTCAATTAGCAATATTCAGGAAATGTTGAAAAAGAAATATTGCTAAGCAGCATGAATTCTCAACACTAACAGTTTGTGTAGTGAAACTTTTCTTTATTGATGATATCCAACAATGAACAAAAATTCTGAATCTTTAGTGTTCTTGAGTAACTGTATCATTAGATCTTTAAATCAACTTTTATAATTAAATGGAGCTTGAGTTTTGCTGAAACACTAAACTATTGACCTTTCTAAAAGACTTTCAGTCACTTTCTTGAAGTTGGTGGATAAAAAAAAATTGATGGAAATTATGTACTAGCCATTTTGTAACCCGTAGGAAAAATATCAAGTACATTCACAAAAGTTATTCTTTGTATTTCAGGTCCACCAGGGAAACGAGGGAAGAGGGGCCGAAGAGGAGAATCTGGTGAGTCTGTCATTCCTTCTAGTGTGACTCCAGCATCTGCCCCTCTGAATGAATGGTAATGCTGTCTCCTTAGAGGTTGTGTGTGTGTTTAAGTCTTCTGGTCTAGACTTGGAATATCTTTATTGTCTCCTTGTTTTCATCAAACTGTAAAAAAAGAATTCAACAAAATGTTTTTCACTACAGTTTAAGAGCCATTGACTCCGAGTTTTGGCTTATTTTGTTGAGTCAAGTCTGTCCTTGGTGTATAGCAGAGCGTTTCTCAACTGCACACAGTGTGGCAGCATCACTCACTTCTCCATCTCAGTAGGTGGTTGGAGGTATAGATTTTCAGCGGAAAAATCTGCTTTAGGACCTGGGGTGTATGTCTTACAAAGCTTTATTATTTTATCCAACTGGCACAATTTTGTCATGCTTCTACTCTCATTCTTTTCAGACTTTGGGAGTTTTACCTCCTTGTATAGCAACAGAGTTTTAGTGATGATAAGACCATTAGTAATCAATCCAGCATTTTCATTTTGTAGTTGAAAAAGCAGAGCCCAGAGCAATCAGGTGATTCAATGAGGGCCATGCCATTTTTTATGAGCCAAATTTGAAATAAAACTAAGTGTCTTGACACCCACTTAAGTAACTCTTTGTTTTCAGGACAAATCCTATAGATAAAGTAAAAACAAAACAAAAACAAATTAAAGTACTTCTGAAAGCAAGATGTACCAATAAATGAGTTTATTTACTATTTTACTTGTTCTATAAAGTCTAAGATTCCCAAAATGTAAATAACCAGATGAAGTTCTTAAGGGGCCTTCATTTCTCCCTTTCAAGATGGTTTACTCTAGTGTGCTGTGAAATGTTTTTTTTAGTATTTTCCATAAGTATTTATCAGCATTTAAAAACACAATCTTGAAATTGTAGGATATTAGCTTATCAGGAGGAGCAAACAGCAGATTGGAATAGGGCTTATGAAAATTCATTAATTTGGACAGTATAGCTGTTGGATTTAGCAATATTTTCAAAGTCTTTCAGACTCACTGAATCTAAATAATTGGAAATTTACATAGGGTATCCCTTTACAAAGTGCAAAGATTGATGATAGAGGCTGTTTATAAATTTGTTTTGAGGAAAAAGGAATGAGAAAACATTATTGGATTGAAACAATCACAGAAATGATCTTTGTGTCAAAAGAAAGAGTATTAAGGGGAAAAAAGAAAATTTTACACTTATGCAATGTTCTATAGACAACATAAAAGTTAATTCCCAACTTCCTAGTTACTTAGAATTGGCGTTTTAGTTGAGCATCTGGTGTGTGAAATATTGAAATATTCTTAGACTTTGCCTGTGTTTTAGTGAGAATAAACAATTTTACAGAAACCTATTCAAACACTAGGACTTAGTCTTTTAAGTATTGACAGTACTGGTGAATGAAAAATATTCCTAGAACAAATAATAGCTATATTTCTGATTCAGGTGTCTTACCAAACTCAAGACGTTATTTACATACATACATACATACATATATATATATGTACATACTCCTTAGAACTGGTCTATCCTAAGTAACTGAAGATTCTTCTGGCTCACATTTTATCTAGACATTTATAAATTAGATAGTAATCCATAAACATGCCTTGGGGAACATGAAAGTCCCTTGAAATTTTATGTAAAATTTTGTGTCAGAGGTAAATTCATTTTTTCTGAGATGGACTCAAAAGGTCCATGACCTTAGGAAAAGACTAAGAATCACCAAGTCCACGTCCCTTGTATTATACTGATGATTACGATGACCCTTTAATCTTTTATTTCATCTTACTATTTTGCATAATCGCTAATTTACCACTCCCTTTTTTTTCCTCCCCTACAGGTCCTCCTGTAAGTATGTTTGATGATTTTGGCTGTTCTACATGAATCAGGATCACGTATGTTAAAACTTTATTAAAACATCAAAATATGGTCTATATTTCAGTTGGAAGCATGTTACTGGTCTTTTAGGAATACTTAAGTTTGGAAAACTATTTTTTAGGCACACAATTTTGAGATCATGTGAAATATTAGAATGCAGTGTGTGTCCATTTAAAAAACTTTCATTTTTGAGTTGATCACACACCAGTTACTCTCTTGGGACTTTGGGGATAACTTCTGAAGCTTGTGATTTAAAATACTTTTCCTAGAATTCAGAGATTTCTTTTGCAAGAAAATCTCCAAGCTATTTCACACTTCTTTTTTCATCTGTTTAAACTTGTATCTGAGATATTGCATTTGCTAGTCCACCAAATGTAGATGGCAACATGATCCTGGAAGTGATACCCCCTGTGGGCTCGCTCCAGTCCCCCCTCCTGGCTTTGAAGTCTGTTGGAGCCCTGCCTGCATAAAGAGTCTGATACACAGCCCTTGGAGAGTTTCCCTCTTTTCTTTCCTTGAGTAGGTCAGAGCTGCAGCATTCCACATGGCCTTGCACTCACAGGAACAGATTATCTTGTCAGCTTTGAGCTGGATGTGTTTTTGAGTAATATCCTGGATATCTTTCACCTGACCCCAGTGTTTATTCTGTGCACTGTGCCTCTACGGTAGCGATGATCATTGGCCTTGAGGTATTTGCTCATCCCAGATAGCCAGTTTGATGTAGGGTTCACAGACTCTACATTGGCAACTTATCTAACAGGCCAGCATGGTCCAGGGAGAGGAGTTAGTATAGACTCGTTGACTTGATTCAGAGGAAGCATTGACTTCCAAATATCTTTTGCAGTCTTCCTGCCACATGAAAGGATGGAACATAAATCATGTGAGCAATGACTTTGCTTCTGTAACTGACTTTCGACTCTTGGTTAATGCTAGGCAGATGGCATGCCCCAGCTCTAGGAGCCTTTACTCTTTGGCTTCATATTTAAGCCTTTGTCTTGAAGACTAGAAAGAAACCACTGCTGCCCATAGGAAATTCCCCAGGTTACAGCATGTTCGAGGCTTCTTTTTGTAGAATATGTATGTGCCACGGGGACAGACACTTCTATCTCATTCATGCACTTTGTGACCTTAGGATTCTAGTATTTTCTTTTCAGTGCCTAGAAAACTCAAGCAGCCCTTGCTTTCCTAGACTGTCTATTAGTCCAGATTTTCTTCTTAACAATTTTAATTATTTTTCTTTCTCTTATTACCTATAAATAAAAGAACTAATATTTCTAAACCTCTAGCATATTCTAGACAAGCAATATTCTGGGCACTTTATACACATAATTTTATTTTGTTCTCAACAAAACATTCTGGTAAAATATTCCTTTACTCTGTGAGAAGACTGAGTCTCAGAGAGGTTAATTGCCAGAGACTGCTCAGTTAGAGGGCTTGTGAAGTTGAAATTCAATTAAACGTGTCTGATTTTAAATCCTTTCAGCTTCTCACTTTATTCCTATCCTTTACAAATTATTAATGTGTTGTAACATGTGTTATAGGCACAGATCTTTGTTGCACAGGCCTTAGGTCAAATCCTAGTCCTTGACACAAACAATTCCATATGTGAAAGCATGACCAAACAATGTCAAATGGCCAGTTTATAAAGCAAGCATGGTACTCTTTTACCCCGACTACATTTTTAATAAGTTATGGTGTATGTAACACACTTCACCAAAGAAATAACATGTACCCATGAGTTTCATACTAACTAAAAGGTGTTTCAAGTTGCTCACATTTGATGAGAAACCATTGTGAGAGAAGAGAGGAGAACACATTGACTATGCTATCAGCACTAATGACACAGACTTTTATCATACTACTTAGGATCCCAACAAATGATGGCAAATCTCATTGTCACTAAGAGTCACCAGTTTTTTATGGATCTCCTGAAGCAATGCTCTCAAATGTGATTTAAAGACAAAACAAAAAGCCATATTCAATGATAAAATTAATTTAGCAGCTTTACATTTACATCTTCAATTGCTAAATTTTGGGAAACCTGGATATATCACACTAGAATTATGTACGCATATACAGTTGCATGTTTCTCCTGTCGTTTCCCATATTCTTGCACACTGAGATCATTTATAATTTAAAACTTGAAATGCAACTCGAATTAGATGCCACATATCAATTTACTCTATAGGAAGCTGTTCAGCCTTATCCATTTTGACAAAAAGATATTACTACCACAGGAGTCTCTGCTCTGAATAGCTGTAATGGGAACAGTTTTATGATAATGTATGTAATTTGTTTTTATGTGACTATCAGATACTTTTTTCTGTTTTCTTTCTCGGAATGGTAACATATATTAGAATATCGCTCTAAAGAACTCCAAGCAGGCTCTTTGAGCATCTGCCTCACATACCACATTGTATTTGTTAGATTGCTGGGCTGACCACTGTGTTTCTTGACTATGACGTTGTACCTCCTATTTTGAATAACTTCAAAATATATTCATATTGAAATAAGCAAAGAGTTTGATGAGAGTTTACAAATTAACTTCAGGGTTTTTAAAAGGAGCAAAATTTCCTCCTAGTTTTGGCTTTTTTCAGAGCAGATAGGAAATGCAGCATCTCTATCTTTTATCTCAAAAGGAAGTGCTATTCTAATATTCACAGGTCACAGACTCAAGCAAGTCCAATAATTATTGCCAGAAAAGAGTCAAGAGACCTTTTTTAACTGGCTGTTTTATTTGTATCAGTCTATCAAGCCCTATAATTGTGCTTGACTGACAGAGATATGATGTTATTGTTGGTAGCTCGAACCCTCTGAGGTGTGAAATATGACGCTGCTGTCAGCCAGTTCTGTTCCATCCACCTTCAGCAATTGTCACCTCAGTCTGAACCCTAGACTCTTGTTGACAGATGAATGAAGCAGACTCGGCCAAGTTAAGCTTACAGTGCTATTTCTGCCAATGTGGTAGATGAATTAGGAAAAGAACTCTCCCTAGAAATTTTAGAAGAAAAACTCTGACATCTTTACTTCATATTGAAAAAACTATATGATTTTTAATTCAAAAGTAAGTCTTTTCCAGGTATACCTACAACTATAATTGATAGCAGCTGCCCACCTGGTATATATAGAACATTATATACCAGTTCTATATCCACCCCGATA